TTTTGCGCTTCAGTCAGTGGATCTCCCTTTATTCGTTTACGTAACGGTCCCAATGATTTCTAAAAAAAGTAAGTGAATTATTTCTCCACAAATGTGTGTTTTAAACAAGATTCTAATGAATCCGTGAAATAAAAAGGAAAAAAACCAGTTTATTTCATATTATTTCGTTTATGTAGCGCAGGAAGACAAGCACATCGTTTCAAAAAGCACATCTAAACAGATGAAAAAGTTGTACAAAATTACAAGTTTACTTTTATCCAAATATTTCATGAAAAACCGATTGGCTGGAAATAATTTCTGATAAACATTAATTAGAGCACTGGGAAACTCATTAACTAAATGACAGGCTCATCAACTAACTGAATCATTCTTTTAGCTGACTTTAGGTTATTTGAAATTGTTACATGGTATACTCATCAAACGAAGATTTTGATTTATAGAAAACAAAATTGTTCTGTTCAGGAAAGAAGAATAAGCTGCACGAAACACACTTCCAACTGAGTAATTAGGACAACATATAAAAATATGAACAAAAGGAATGTCTGAATGACAATGCTTTTTCGAATAATGGCTTCTCTGTTAAATGCCGTATCTCTTTCTTTGTTTATAAAGGAAAAAAAACTTTGAAACAAGTGCAGATGATGTGTAGTAATACTTATCAATAGCTCCTTAATATCAAAAAGAATTGTTCAGATATCGGGCCCAATAGCTCCTTAATATCAAAAAGAATTGTTCAGATATCGGGCCCAATAGCTCCTTAATATCAAAAAGAATTGTTCAGATATCGGGCCCCACTGGCGATTCGAAATTCAGCTTTCAGAATCAGTCATTCCCCATTCCTCATCTGCTCGTCATGTTGCCAGCAAATCAAAACTATCTGATCTGATCACTCATCAAATGGCTATATGAAAAACATGTACATGTGAAAATTATCGTATGTTTAGAATAAAATATTCAATGGAGTACCATTTGGAACTATACATGTATTGGATCTTAAGTACAGTGATCAAAATCAAGTTCTTAGCAGTAGCTAAATAAGTAGAAAGAAATTAAGACGTTGCCTATTTTTCAGGGATGGAAGTGTTGAAAGATTAGAAAAAAAACCATTCGGTTTCCACTTCTTCGGCAAATGAAATTTCCTACCTTCTTCTGCTCTGTTTGGTGAAAATGAAGAAGACGAAGCAAGGAAGTAATGAAACATTCCTACGAAAAGTAGAAGGAAAATTTACATGACGGACAAGCACTAAGAATTGAAGATCCTACTTGTAGTACTTTTTTCTTCTTTTCATTTGGGAGACTTTTTTTATTAAAAAAAAATTATCCGTTCAATTCCTATCCTCGTTATTCACACTAAAGATAAAATTTATAGATCATCTAGAGTGGAAAAATGCTGCTTTAATTCCTCTGAAAAGTTATACTAGGAAAGGAAATTTAACCACTATTAAAACAGTCTGATGATAGGAAGGATCAGGATTACTATGCTTAAGGAAGTATTCCAGATGGCATACCAATTAAAGTCGTTCTGGAAAATGATGAGTGCTCTCAAAAAGTATATGTACTATCATTTTGTATAAGTGTAGAAAGTTTCCAGAACTATTTAGAAAAAAAAGAAAACTCATAAACATATCCCATCTAATCCCTACTTCCCACAATTCGTTAAAAACAAGTTCTCTCTAAAAAGAAAGAAATGTTCAAAAAACTGTAAAAAGGTGAAGCACAAGCACAATAATAAAACTGCTCTTCTACTTTAGGTGTAATTAGGCTCTCGGATCAAAGTATCTCCAATATGAGCATTGGACACAAAAAGAGCATCATATTACTGCGGTCCTCAGTTTTTCCTTCTGGTATCCATCAGGTCATATCCCAGAATCCATTCTAAACTAAACTGTAACATACTTTTCGGTACAACACGCAAAATATTGACTAGATTTAACTAAAATTTTAGGAGAAAGACTTGTTTGTTTTAATTTGGAAAAAAATTCCATCCTTAGAAGACTGTAATATGTGAAAAAAAAGCCTTCCTTTTCTTCTACACCACTTTTCCTTTACTTGTTTCATCCTTACTAAAAAATCACTTCTGTATGATGAACAGACTATTAGAACAATATACACCAGGAATATACCTGAAAACTTTTTCGAAGGAAAATTTCTAGGTTAATCGGTTTTTGCAAAACTTATCAAAATATAAAACCGGCGGTACCAATCAGTATGGTTTTAAAATCCCATCATTCTATCATTCTATCATTCATAAGTTGTAGTTTTACGTTCCCGAATAATGAGGTCTTCTGAACGCAGAGCAATTATTATAACGTTGACCAGAAATTACAAAAAGAATTCGTTATTTTTATTCACTTTTTCTATGAATTTCTTTTTCGTACAAATCAATATACGAAAAATGTTTTTTGCACATATTACAATTCTGTTTATATGCAATATTACATACTTCCGATTCAAATAAAGTTAATTACCTCATCGGTTATTGCAACCATGCTATTCATAATGCAGCCATCCTCTTCGCTGTGTTGAAGAGACCGCCGACGACGCAATTCATACCTGTATGACATAGAAGTTTTGATTTCAAATGGACAACTTTAAAATAATCCAAACATAAATATGGGTGAATTCGGCAACTTGTTTACTGTCCAGATAATGATAGAAATCTGTCATAATTTATGAGTAGAAGTCCAGGATCCCGAGTGATAAGCTTAAAGGCATTTTTGACATTGTAAGCCCACAATGATGCACCATGAATTAGAATATAAACTAACATTCATATGTCAACACCGTCGCTATATGACTTTCTAGATTGAATCTGTCTTATTTCGTAGAACAGATGTTTAGCTAATAACTACATACTGTAATAAAATGTTTCCTTTTTTCCAAAAATTTCAAGAAAACAAATTTCTGCCTTTTCCTGAAATTACAAAAAGGAATCATCCCATCACAGCAATACCTTATGTTATCTAATCTTCCAATTACCTTTTCCTAGCAGCCATATCGGTGATATCCGTTTGTACAGGTACTGACTGGAGGTACGAAACAGAACTGCTCACTGGCGTTGACGTTTGTACTGTCGGCGGTTCTGCAGGATCTGCTTGTCCACTATTACGACGTCGCAGCACTATAACTTGTGAGAATTCAAATACATTGATTAAATGATATATCAAAACCTGCCGTGACCCTAACGACCTCACGATCAGAATATCAAACTTTTCCCCAAATTATACATGTGACTTACGATGCAAGCACGAATTTTACGAAAAATAAACTGGAAAAATGCATTAGAAAGAAGTTAAAACTTTATAACATCCTAATTTTTTTAAATGGTCCTTAATTTTGTTGAATGATCTTTTGTCGTGGAGAAAAGCTCACTCACTGATTGATATACAACACTGCTGACACATTTTTTTTTAATTTGTAAAACTGTACCCATGCTATGCAAAGTGATCTTTCGCTTCTTCCCGCGAATCAGAGTTTGTCGAGGAAGGCTGATCGACAGATTCGGACTTGAATCGTCTTCTCCATCCGCCATATACCATAAGTAATTACCTTAATTGAGCAATATGTGAAAGAAAAAGGGCAACTAAGAAATCCAAAACCTTCACATATATTATCAATTTCATCACATCCAATGGATTTGATCTCGACTACCCAACTGCTGCTCTCCCAGTTGTATGAAATGTCAAGATTGGATTTCTCGCATGTAATGGAATCTATAATTTTATCATCTACAATTTGAAAGAAAACCACTGTTGTAAATTATTCACACTTTTTTTCCAACAACATACAATTTCGGATCTCCGGCCTTCCAAACTATTTAGATCCTGAATAGAAATGATCTAAGGGTTACCTATGTGAAATGTCCGCTGATATCAGCATGGAGAAATGCTGTCTCATGTCACGCTGATTCAATCTAATCCTAACCACCAAAAAATGCAAAAAACATTTAACACACGTATAAAAAGAGAGGAAAAAAGAAAACATAGAAACTATTGCTGAGTGGTGACATATATTTCAATTAACACCCTCCTTTTTTATAAAGAGAACTGCAAGGAATGAACTAGCTCAACAGGTTTTTTTTGTCCCCAAATATTTCGTCGCCGTTACTTCCATGTTTGAGGGTGGGAGAGCTGCAATAGAGGGAAGAGAAGAGACAATTTTGGTAAAGGAAAAAATAGATAAAACGATGTAAGCCGTTTGATTCACGCATCAATCAAAGATAATGATAAGGGACACACCACAAAAAAAATTTATTGGTAGTTTCCTATCGATTAACACTGGATGCATGAATGCTTTGACTGTCGATGGTATCATAGGACTGAGATCATTTCAAAGTAAAAGCATTCATTTTACTTGTCAAAATAATATCGACATAAGGAGTAACACAAATATGTTATTAATAATATCACAAATACATATTAAAAGGAAGATTTTCTAAAACATTCTCCAAATATTCATTTTATCAGTAGAATAATATCTTAATATAAGGTTCAGAATAATAAAATGATGTTCAATTTTACTTTATTATTCTCCTGGATAGTACATTTTTGTTCTCGATGCAACCCAGGCTATTCTTCGAGATTTCATTTTCTAGCAAATGGCAAAAATGGAGAGCACAGTTTAGAGCAGTTGTCATTGCTGGGTGGTATGTCCACAAAATATGATCACTTATTGTCAAGTTTCAACTGCATCGGTCTAACTCATAACATCCACTCATTAAAAGGTAATATGTAAGGAAAATGATGTATCAAAAACTGTGGCCCATCACACTCAATGACTGGAGGACTACAGCAAATCGATCAGAATCAAAGATAAAGTCTAGAAAGAATCAGCACCAAAATACCCAAATATATGGTTTATAAATGATCCTATATAGTTCTCCCAATCCAAATATAAGGTTTATAAATAACCCTATACTTGACATGATATATCAGGAAGACATGACAGTTGCCTCCGACAGAAACCTCTCAAACTTTGGAGGAACCCAACTCCATAGGTGAATGGATGGGTCAGATGAAGTGGATGAACCCATAGACGATGTGGAAGATTTCCACATGAGTTTGAATTTAAAAAAAAGAACAAAAAGAAATTTCCTTGAACAACCACACCGTCAGACAGACGGAAATAATTAAATGGAACGAGCGGTTAGTGTCGTCGCCTTCAGGCAGATGGCACTCACCGTATCAGCTTTTTGGTAGCGAGAAAATTCGTGGATCTGCCAAAATGCCAGCGAGTCATATCGCACGAGAGGACAATGGTTCGAGATGAACAGTGCAGGAAAAGAAGTCCGAAGCACCGATTGCTTCAAAGATAACCCATCCACACATACAACCGAACAGTAATAGTAAATCTTTCAACATAATATTAAACTAAAACGTACACACTGCGCGAAACACAGACACACACATACATATACATAATACGCATGGAAAAGAAAATGAGAGCTATCGAATTGTCAACGTGACTACGAAATATACATACATACACACACACACGCACATACATACACACACATATACACATACACACACAACATACACACATATGCACACACGGGATCGATAGATGCCCTCTAGCGTCGGTAGTGAGATAGATGACACATTGTATACAAGCCACCCCAAAACAGGCGTACTACTACTACCACAACTATACTGCAGGGGACAGAAATATTCGAAGGAAGATTTCGGGTCAACCATTGAAATCCTACGGGTCGCTTCGAAATCTGCCCTATCTCATGGATTTGGATACATTGCCAAAGTTTGGTAGGGATATGCTTTCACAAAATAACATCATAACCATATAGAGAATTCTATAGGACGGATGGCATGATAGTCCCTAATTCGAGAGGAAGCAGTTTACCGTGACATTCAAAGAATAATTTTCCAAAATCCTTTTTCTTTCATCCCGTTCATATCTGCTCAAGAAAAGAAGAAGCTGCTAACCACAGATAAGTAAGAAGTCTGCAACATGTCTCAGAATTCCCGTGAAAATAGCCTCAAGCAATTCGACCCTATGAATAGACAGAAAGATTTTGCGGAAATTTTGCATTAATCTCACAATAGTATATATTCATATATAACATTCAACGGTTTTGACTTCCACGTGAAAACAAAAAAAAGAAGCAAGACGTTAAGGTAACTATCAATAAGGTAAAGTGCTGGAGAAATGGCAGTACGGAAATGCTTCTAACCAAATATAAACTTCATATATAGGCTTTTCCAAACATCTCTTACTTTAAAGCAACGATGAGTAACAAAACTTGCAATGACCAAGGTGAGCCACACAAATGAAGAAAGTCTTTTGGTTGGAGACATTTTTGCCCGAGTATTCTCTAGTGAAACTCGCCGGTTGTACGACACCGTAAACGAAAGACAGTTATCGAACCTCCACGAAATTCCCGGTCCACATGTTAAACACCAGAATTCTTCATTTTACGCACCGAGGTCCGTTAAATATTGATTCACTTGGGGTTGGTTCATTTGATAGAGGTATTTTCTGTTAGGGTAGCTGAACCAGTACAGTTCCAAAAATGCGTGATATTCGGATGCTCTCTTTTTACTCTGAACTGCTGAGTGACATTGGTAAATCTTCGCTAGAATTGCACAAATTGGTGTAATTCCTGGTATGAATATGTAATGTTTGGAAGAAGTAAACGATGGTTTGACATAATTAAATGTTGAATGAAAGTTCGTGGTTAGGCAGTGCCATTTTTGATCAGAAATTTGCTCTCCTACTACTGGAAGTTTGTTTTGCTTAAGGTGAAACTATAAAACAGAATGATGATGGACGATAATGTGAAGATATCCGGAAAGGTGCGGCGATGTCGAATTTCACGAAACAAAAAGCGATACTGGAAAAAGGGTACGCAAATCCAGGATGCAGAGGATTTTCTCTGTAAAGTTCAGGTTGATGCTGTTAAAGGTATATCAGAAATGCTCTCTCTTTCTGGTTAACGTGTTTAGTTTACGAGAAACTGAAAAAAAAAAGGCATTTGTGGGAATGAATTAGACTTATTTCATTGGTTGGTCACTACCATGATAAGTTCTAATACCACTTGTAACGCATTTTGTTGCTGCAAATCTTACTTGATTTCAGATGCAGAAAAGCAAAGTGAGGACAACCTGTTTACCGTCGACAGAAAATTAACAAGACGACAAATGGCAGCTTTGATGAAGAGATTAAAAAAGAAAGAGTTGGTTGATTCTCATAACCGTTGTAGATATCATTTACCATTATCCATCCCTCGGGCAGATCAAGTTCAATTTTTGAAAACATCTTTCTGTTACTGTCTTCGTATGAGACCGTAGCAAGTCCGTATGCAATAAGGAATAACAAATAGCTGGGTTTTTGTTCTCGAGCAATGATAATTTTGTTGCTGTGTTCGTCATCAGCGAGGATTTTTCTTCCTGTTTAAAAATTTCAACGATTTGGATTTAGACCTATGGAGAAAGAGGAGAATGTGTCTAAACGGCAGCTGAGGAAGATGCTTCTGGAAAAATCAAGAAAACAAGTTACAGCCAAAGCTAGCTTTCCAGAAAGTACGGCAATCAAGCCTCGAAAGCCGTATGATCTTTGGGGTGCGGATTTTTAACCAAAGCTTGCAGAAGCATCAACTGTCGTTTGATCGTAAATGATATAATTCGAGGCATTAGACGTGATTCCATAATTTTTGTTTACTATATAATTTTCACCACGTTTCCACAGCGAAAGGTAAAGCTGGTAGTAGAGAAGATATCATTAAAAGCGATCGATTTGTCAATATCATGCAAAAAAAGAAAAATGACGGTTACGAAATTTGTTAAAATTTGACCGCCGTATACGAGATAACTATTGCAGAAGGATAATTCCTGATGAGCTTTTTATCCGAGAATGTTGAGAGCATAGTAATGTTTTAGTAGTTTAAGTTGCTTAATTGGTGCCTTGAAGCTGTGTAACTGTTCACCGTCCATTAATTTTGACGTAAGTCACTCTGCTGATATGGCGGCATAATTTTGAATATTTAATTCTCCCTTTTTTTAAGGTGAAGACAACCAACATTCAGAAAAGGAGGTTTCGGTAGTGGAGAAGTATCATCTTTTAACTACTAAAAAAAAATTGCCGCAGGAACCGAAAACTTTAAAGCATATAACTAGTATATTACAGCATGTGGAAGTTGCTCCGGCTGGTGCGTCTTATAATCCTCCAGTGTCTAAATATTTGGTATATAAATTTGAATCTTTGTTACTTTTCAAGGATTTCAAACGCATTCCTAAAGAAAGAATATATGTTTTAATGAGGCTTACTGACTCGTTGTGCATGTCTTTCACGATCGCTGGTGAATTTTTTCGAACTTTGGGCGACTGCCAAATTACTCTTTTTCATTTTGATATGCTTCTTGGTTTCGTAATTCTTTACCCCCTTGTCTCAGTCCTTTCAACTTCACTGCTTACCTTACTGCATCATTTTTCCATTTCCTGCTGTGTTCTGATTGCTAATGTATATAACTCTATGGGACCATGTAAGAGAAGCGATTTAAACTATTCAAGTATGTCAGCAATTAGCACAAGTTAAACATTGTATTATAGGACTATGTTACTGAGGTAGCCGAAGAAGAAAAGAGAAAAATTAAAGAAAGTGAAAAGCTAGAACGTGAGCTCGCACTACTTAAACAAAAATATGCTACTCAGGTTTGCATTTGTTTTTATTTCATTGACAATTGTAATTTCTGTTTTCATCATTTCTTCAACAAGCATTTTAGGAAGAAATCGAACTGGAATTAAAGGCAGGTCTTGATGGTAGTGATGATAGCAATAACGAAATTCCGGAAGATGTGAATGAAATAGAACAGAACAACAGTGGTGGTAAGTTAAGGCTTCCTCTTTTTTTTTTCTCTCAGCCCTGCTCAGAATTACTGAAAATTTGCAAATGATTTTAAGAAAAAAAGCCAAGCATTAAACGAAAGACGAGGAAAACTCGACATTTGGAACATATGGAACGAAAACGAAAAGAAATTGAAAATATGTCTGCATTTCAAAAAGAACAGATGCATTTTCTTTACTCGTGAGTATTTCAGAAAGTCTTTTGGTAAAAGGTTATAATTATCAAAATCAAATCATTACTTTGAAGGCAGATTTCCATTTTTTGTTTCGAGAATCTTCTGCTTATCAAGTTGTTACAGAGCCCGGAAATTGAATAAAAAAATCAGTAAAGAAATACAAGAACGGGAAGAATTTGCGAAAAAACGGAAAGAGCGCAAAGTCAGTTGTAGTTCATTTCATGTTTATTTGTTTTTTTTTTATTTAGTGTTGAGGTCATCTACCCAAAAGTGCTTGATGCAGCGGAAAAAATTTAGCGAGTCTACATCAGCCAATAGGATATTATACCTAACATCAGTTTTCATATCATTTCCCTTCGATATTTTTCAGTTGATCAAAAGATTTGCGGGTATACAGCGTTTGGGTCGTGGAAAGTTTGAACCCTGCGAGAAACCCGTTTTGTTAACTGAAGAGTTGCCAGGCTCTTTACGAGAACTAAAGCCGCAGGTTTGTTTTATGTTATCGGAACTGCCTTCTTCGGTCTTTTGATTACCTATTCTAGCCTTATATGTTGAAGTTGTTTTTCTTTATCCTTGCTGATAAATATCGCTATTCTCCATCCATTGATCACGTAGTAGCAGTATAAAATGTATCTTTTTATCGTAAATTGTATTGAAGTACGAAATGAGTCGAAGTCTTGAATTTTTAAGTATTCAAACGGTTCTCATAGTTCTAAGCAACTTCAAGATTGATTCGAAGGACGAGACTTCGCGTTTGACTGATATTATTGCATATAATTCTCCACAGGAATATTTCTTTCCTTATGACGACCTTATTCGGTCGTCTTTCTAGCTGTTGACNGAGTCAAATGTTACAGGGCAGTATTTTGACAG